ATGTTGCTGTAATTATACTGGTTTTTGTAGTTGTAGTGGTTGTTGTGACTTATCGCTTAAGTGGTATTTGTAGTTTAAGCTGTTGTTACCGCTGTCACAGTAGTGGTAGTAGTGGTTTTAGTGGCTATTATAACACATCGCTTTCGTGGTAGCTGTGGTTTTAGTTGTGGTTTTAACTTACAGCCTCAGTGGTTACCATAGTTTTATTAGTTATTATCGCTTTAGTGGTTACTGTGGTTTTAGTGGTGATTGTTATAACTTATAGATTTAATTTAGTAGTTTATCAAATGAAAGTGGTTATTGCATGCTACTTTAGTGGTTGTTGTAGTTTTAGTTGTTGTTATCGCTTTAGTGGAAGTTGTAGTTTTAGTTGTTGTCATCGCTTTAGTGGCAGTTGTAGTTCTAGTGGTGCTGGTGTTGGCTGGACGACCTGGGTGTGTGGAAACACCGGGCCCATCGAGTCTGGCCATAACTAGAGGCGGCGGGCGAGCTTTCTGGGCAGAGAGGGTAGCCAAAGTCCCCTCACAGCGCCCCCGGGTAACGCCCATGTCAAAAGCAAGAAAAGCGAGACAACAAAAGCGGTGCAAATTGCCCCAACAATTATCGTTAATTGCGACGCGTAACTCGCGAGGCCAGGTTCTCTTGCTCTCTCTCTCTGTCTCTCTCTCTCTCTCTGTCTACCCCCTCCCTCTTTCTCTCTCTCTCTCTCTCTCTCTCTCTCTCTCTCTCTCTCTCTCTCCCTCCCTCTCCTTTTAATTTTTTCATATCTTGTATGTTACTCTCAAGTAACCCTTCTACTCTTTGGTACTTATATGACATATTTGTGGTGCAAATGCTGTTAAGCTCTTATTACGAACACAACGTTAAACTATGCATCGATATGCCCCACCTGTGTTGCCCAATTTAAATCTTGATTCGACGTCTGGAAAGTGCTGTTTTTGTTCCTTTTGCATCGCATCAGTTGAAATCTCTACTGTCTGCATTCTCCTCCTCCCCCCCCCCCTACCCACGTGCATGGATCTCCTGGCTTTGATCAGAATAATATGCTGCCTGTGTATGCTGAAGCATCGAGCATACGCGTATAAATACACCGCACCGAACACATGTCTGATTTCTTCTTCGAGGCGAAAAGATAAGAGCTGAATGGAAAATATATGTATTTCTCTACCTCCTTTTATTTTCCCTCATCCCTCGTTTTTG